CAAGTTAAACCTTTGGAATTAAGGCTCTTAGTCATTTAGAGCTCGAATTCTTGATGCTCAATTTCAGTATTACACTTTTGAAGCCGAGCCTTTGATGATAATTCTCATAAAGATGAGCCTTTAAGCCTTATTCTTATGAAAACAGTTCTTTGGATGCAATCACTCGCAAAGCTGAGCCTATATTTATTATTAGTTCTAGAAAGTATACCTTTGGAATTAATGCTCTTGAATATAAACCTTTACAGCTCGAATTATTGAAGCTCAGTTTCAGTCTTAACATTCTTTAGTCTGAGCCTTTATTGATTATGTTTCTTGAAACTAAGTCTTTAAAGCTCAATTTTTAGCCTTCTGCGTTTATATTCAAGAACGCGAGCCTTCGGTTAACTCCTGTAAAGCTGAGCCTTTATTGCTTTTGGCTTTTGAAATTATCCTTTTGGAATTATTGCTCTTTGAACATAAACCTTTAGAGCTTGAACTCTTGCAGCTCATTTCTTAACATTCTTGAAGCTGAGCCTTTAGTTCTGACGTGTTTAAAGTCGAATACAGGAATTAATGCCGTCAAAATTGAGCCTTTAATGCAAATGCTCTTAAATTTTTTAGTGCTTACACCTACAAAACTGAGCCTATGATGTTTATACTCTTAAAAACTAAATCTTTAGTGCTGACTTTTCTGAAGCTGAGGAGGTTTTAGTGCTTTACACTTCTCATTCCTAAAGTGTCCTTCTTAAGGAGGTTGGTAGACACGAGCATAAAACACGAGCGTACTTTAAATCCCTTACTTTTTTACATAAATTTGAGTTAAACTATCATTCAAGTGCATAAAATTATCCAAAATTCGCGAGTTTTTTACGTCATGAAACTTCACCCCTCGAAAACCCGTACGTTCCTTCCACATAATGCAAAACTGTCTCGCAGATACTTTCCCTGTTTCTTTACGGAAAACAGGTAAAAATTGCGACAGGCAGACAGACAGGACGGGCTCGACAATCACGCAACGTCATTATCAATTAAAACTGGACAGAGTAGATAACATATGTAGCTACTGAACTATTTTCTATGTGTGATGTTATCGTATAGCCTACAGGCATTAACGTAATGCACGCGCTACATTTACAGTGTTGTAGCTACAGCTGTAAAGATAAGCTAATACATTAACAAAGGCTATTACTTTAATAAATTATCAATTTTCATACCAACGAGCTACTCATTCATTGATGCTGCGATCATTTATATTATGCAATGTGAAACTATTTTCAGGCACTTTAAGGCTGTAACAGGCTTAATGAAGCTGTTAATATCTGAAAACTCTGAAAAATCCAAGAGATTTTTTTGGAATTTAGCTTAATTTTTACTAGTGAAACTGAGTTGTAGCTTGGGGGTAAGGTTAGAAGAATGCAAGTTATCCTGTTATATTTCCTCCAAAAAACTGGTCTAGTTACAATTATGAGTTGTTTATTGATAAACGTTTCTAAAAAAAACACAGATACGAATCAATTATAATTGCCAAATATTGATAAGAATCATAGAAAACACGAGATGTGTAATATTTTCTAATAATTTAAGGGGCCTTTATCCCAGTAAATTCATTTTATTTTAAACAGAAAATTCTTTTTGCAATTTCTAAATTTAAGAATGTAAATAGCCTACAGTCAAAACTTTAATTACCGCCACCTCCAAATGACGGACACTGTGTTAAACGGAAGCCAGCTTTGCCATACAAATGCATACAAAAAATGACCTGTAAACAACGGCCATTTTGTTTTTTGTCTCCCTCGGTGGTCGTTGTACGGAGGTTTGACTGTATGTTGAGCTAAAATATCGATAAATTATTCAAATTTTCAGCTTTGTTCTAACAAAATTATTCTCTTATTTTCAGATTTTTTTTGGATGCTAAACTGGAAGGACTTCATCTTAACATTATTTAGCCAGAATATGTTTTGTAAGAAATTAAACTGGCATTCCCTAATAATATTTTCTAGTAAATGTCTGTTGAGAGTATAAAACCTCTAAAAGTGAGAGCAAAACCACCCTGAAAATAAGCAAAAATCTTTGAAAACGAAAGCAAAATTTTCTAGAAAATAGGGAAAAATGCTTGAATATAAGAGTAAAAAATTTTTTAAATGAGAACAAATATCCTTAAAATAACAGAAAAAAATCACTGATATAAGAAGGGTACAAATTCCTTAAAATAAGAGTAAAAATCCTAAAATGTAAGAGCAAAAATCCCTAAATGAAAGAGTAAAAAGTCCTTAAAATAAGAGCAAAAATCCTAAAATGTAAGAGCAAAAATCCCTAAATGTAAGAGTAAAAAGTTCCTAAAATGTAAGAGCAAAAATCCCTAAATGTAAGAGTAAAAAGTTCTTAAATTAAGAGCAAAATTCCGTGAAAGTATGTATAAAAATCTTTAGATAATACAAAATCCCTAAAAGTCATTAAAAGACCTTCAATAATGAGTTAAACTCCCTGAAAATAGATATAAAAATATCATAATATATTTAGAAAAAAAAATCGTAACTAACCTAACTCATTTTCGATAGATAAAATAACCAGGAAATTAGTATAAAAGTCTTTTATAATATACAAAAAATTCTCCAAAAATAACTATACAAAACTATGCATATAACAACGTTTAAATTAGAGGTTTTTATGCTTCTACTCAGTATGAACACCTCTAAGATAATTATGTAAATTCCCTAATAATGTCTGTAAATGTTATAAAATCCCTAAAAATAACAGTAAAAATCTCTTAATAATAGATTTTAGAAAGCATTAGGGATGTAAAAATTACCCTAAAATAAGTGCAAAATATCTACAGAAATAAATATAAGGACAATAAAATATTCCTTGGATATTGTTCTAAAAATCATTCAGGATTATAATTTTAGTATAATCATTCAGAATTACACTAAAGGTAAGTATAAAAATCCTCTAAATTAGTAAGAAACCTCTGATTATGGAGAATTCATTTGTAAACTTTTAAGGAGCTGTTCTTTTAAGGAGAATAAAACAAGGTTAATTATGATTAAAATTTGGAGGTTTCTTATTGAAAAAGTTTCCTCTTTAACGTTTGTTTACATAAGATTTAAAATTGCTTTATCTAAGAGGTGTACACTTAAATTTACACCCTAAAATCTGACTTTATATCAGTTAATTTACAATCTTCGACTGTATTAGTATATTATACAGTCATAAAACTGCATAAATTAACCTTAAAAACGGTTTTATCAAAGAGGGATGCTTCTGTTTAATATAGTTTACACCTAAATCTAACACTCTAAAAATTGATTTTTTACAGCTTAGAGTCTAATTTACATGATGTATAATCTAGAAAATTAATGATTCAAAATACTAATTCATGTTTTCTTTTACAGATGAGCCTTGTTTTTATAGAAGAAAAGCCTTAAGGCTGAAGCTTCCATATGAAAACCCATAAGCTACACCACAGTTTTCAACCCCTAATACATGATAAAATTCTAAAATATTTAGGAAAATATCCTTAAATTAGATCAACTTACCTCCTATTTAAGTAGGTTATATATAGTTTAGGGTAGGAGTTTCTTTTTTTTGGAGTGAGACAGGCTTGAAGAAAGAGGGAGATGTTGAAAGTTAGGAAGATGCCCTTAACCACGCCTTTGTTTTAAGATATGGTCCACCTTCTTCTTCCATTGGGAGGTCAAGGTGAAAGGTGTATGGACCAAAAATGACGTCAGACGACGCCATGACAGTTTGGACCACCTCCCCACGCCATTTTTTCTACAGAATCACTTACTATGTGACATCCGCCATCATGTTGTTCTTTTTTATCATTTTAAGGATACTTACTGATATCAAATGGAGGTGGGAATTATCTTTTATCTATTACATTAATTTAATTATAGAAAATATAGAGTTTTTTTTGGAATTTTGGGGGTTAATTTTGTACTTTTACGTGTCTAAAATCTCATAGTTTAAGGCGCTGGTTACTTAGAATGAGAGTATTTCTTTGAGTTTTAAGGCCTTCGAGTGTTGGATAATGTGATTTTTCTTAGTTTTATCTTTAAAATCTGTCGTCAGGAAGGGTGTTTTTAGATATTCGAAGCATTTTTATGCCTTTATAAAAGTATAAAATTGTTAAAATCGTTAAATCTAGGCCCAAAAATGGCTTAAGAAGCTCTCAAGGGCCTAAGTAAGTTATACTCTAAAGCACAAAATTAAATGTAAGCTCTTAACTAGGTTCAAATTCTAAGAAGATTTACATCCTTCAAGCCTAATTATGCAATTTATTAATTAAATTTAACCAAATTATTTAAAAAATTTAGAATCAGGACCACTTATAAACCGCAAAATCTAAAAAATTATTGGATTTAGAGCTAAAAAAAGACCCAAAAGTACTTTTTCAGATGAAACTAAGCGTAGGCCTTTAGTTTAAAGCGACTTAATACAAGAGCCTACAGTTCTATAGGCCCTTGAACTACTTGTAAGACCCATCTTAAGCTTCAAATTATGCTTATATCATACAATATCTTACGTCATTCAGCTCAACTTATACAGGACATATACACTATAAATTAGGGCCCACGTAACAACAAGTGAATGTAGCAAGTAAAGAAGGCCTGTAGGCTTTAATATGAACCAATATCTAGGCCTCATAGCTTCTAATTTCTCTAATAATCACCCGTAAAAGAGTGGTTTGATTTATCCATGAATAAACAACATGTAATTAGTTATAAAGAATGATTTTAAGTAAATCACAAGCGCAATTCCTAAAAAATCGAATTATATAAAAATCCGAGAAGAATATAAGTCCTATAATTCCAAAAAAGTCAACAAAATAAGAGTAAAAATCCTAAAATGTAAGAGCAAAAATCCCTAAATGAAAGAGTAAAAAGTCCTTAAAATAAGAGCAAAAATCCTAAAATGTAAGAGCAAAAATCCCTAAATGTAAGAGTAAAAAGTTCCTAAAATGTAAGAGCAAAAATCCCTAAATGNACACGAAACATACGGAAAATGTCCATAAAATCAAAGAAAAATTACATCCATGAGATCTTATCATTTACATATATATATGTATATATATATATATATATATAATATGACGTATAACTCAATAAAATAATATAATAATATAATATAAATTCTTAAAGAGAGGGAGAGGGAGTGAGGGAGAGGGGTGTAGTTTGAATGAAATAAACATAAACATAAGAAATATTGAAGAATGGACCAAACATGGTGGTGATTTTTTGGAATTTTATTATGTTTTTTTTGTTGTTTTTTATATTTTTGCAGCTGGATTGTAATTTTTTTTAAATGGGTGTGGTTTTTTTTTTATAATGGTCTTACGTTTTACCAGGAGTGCCGACGTCACTGTGTCCTGTAACAGGTGCAGGAGTTGTCGATCCTTGATTCTGGTTCCCTTGGGAAGATCCTTTGGACTGTCTCTCTTGTTCATTCAGTTCTTTGATGGCTTGGATCTCTTTTTTCAACTTCATCCTCCTATTTTGGAACCAGATCTTGATCTGTCGTTCTGTCAGACACAGGGCATGTGCCATTTCGATCCTTCTTCGCCGTGTCAGATAATGGTTCGTGTGAAACTCTTTTTCTAATTCCAGGGTTTGATATCGGGTGTATGTCTGCCTTCCTCTCCTTCTTAAACCGTTTGCCCCTTTAAGAAAAAAAAGTAAAAATAGAAAAAGGGTATGTCAGATAAATTCAGTTATAAAATAAAGAATTAATTGGTAACAAGTTTCAAACTTTTAAAATCTAGCTCTCGATTAGGCCTTAAAGTTACTTGATAAATGACACGCTAGGGCCTTAAGAATAAGATAAACAAGCGCTAAGTACTTCCGACTAAACCAGTCCCCTAAGTAATCGATATTTATCAGGTATAATCAGAGCAGAACTTAAGACTCGAGGCTCCAAACAAGAATAGGCCCTTTCCCTCCATCAAATAATCATAAAAATATGAGGCCCTAAACTATAGACTCTTAACGCGAGGCTCCCCTCAGTAAAGTTCAGATAGGACCCTAATTATTAATACATTGTAAGGTAACCTGAGGATAACTCAGGTAGGCCTCTAATCAATTTATATATGCAAATTATAATACAGGTAGGGCATAATTGGTAACTTATAGTATAAATAATCCCTATATCATAATTCGCACGCATTAACTCTGAATAAATACTCAGATAATAAGCCTTTGAATAATGAATAATTCGTAAGATAGACCTCTAAATAATCGAGGACTTCTAAGTAATTAATACGATTATAATTAAACCTTAAATAAATGGTAAATTACAAGGGCCTAATGCACTAAATTTTATACAAAACTAAGTAGAAACATACCTTTTTAACAGGCTATCAACACATCCTAGCCTTTTTTACATACGAAGGCTATCAAAATTGAATTAAATAAAAGCCAGGTTGAAGCCTTAAAGCCTTAAAAAGAAATCGATAATAAAAAAAAAAACGGGGAGGGGGAAGAACGAAGGGTTTAGTATTAAAAAAAAGGGCAGCAATTTGGGTACAAGTATGTAGTATCTGTCCAGGGCGATCAACATTCTTAAGATATCAGGAGAAGTAAAGTTCCTCCTGTTTACACCATCGTCAAATGGTCGTAAACTTCTCGCCACAGCCAGATCGTAAAGATTTTATCGTTTACTACAGTCTTATTTGGCCCTTTATACGATACATCTCCAACGACTGCACTTACACGTCCTTTTATGTTTTAAAAATTGTTAAAGTGCTCTTAAAATAAATTTATGGCCTATATGCTTTGTCAACTTGATAGCTTTATCAATTATTAGGCGTTTTACTCCTATTACGCCATTTTGAAAACCGGAATGACATCATACACTTCACTATAAAATTCTGAGCCTTTCAACGCCGTCGATACTTCTTTAATTTGCTTTATGACGTAGAGGAATTTTTAATAGGGTTTTTAACACTGGGTAGTTTCTTATCACTGTACAGTACGTAACGTAGTAGGCCCTACATTTAATCACTCCTACTTACCTGATATATAATGCTAACCTAATATATGATACATACATCAAGGAGGCATCTTTATACTATACATAATACATTAGGTAGGTATATTATAATCACGCATAAACAGGCCTTATTCAAGTGTTGTTACGAGCCTTTATTTACATGTTACGTAGTACCGGTTAATTAAAGGCCACCATTTATAAAATGCTACAACAGGGGAGGCTAGTTTTAGGATAGTAAATAGGCCCTACTTAATATATCCCTTTACTACATAAAACGAGAGCCTAGTTTTAATGTAACAAGTAAACACGTGGCTATTCTTACTGTTAAATGTACACCAGCCTATTTACCAGGCTATATTTAAATTCAGGCTAATATGTAGCCTGAATTTAATAGCATAACTAACTTAGAAACGGAGTAAATGGGTTTAAGTAGGGTTAAAAATTCATTGGAGTAGTGTCTACAAAGCTACATTCGCAGGTCTTAGAGCGAAGTTAATCCCGAAAGACAAATGTTTTCCCAATTCAGCAAATATCTAGAGTATGTGCCTGAGTCTAATTAATGATTTAGAATCCTCCAAGGTATTTTTTTCCCTATAGAAAATCTAAGAATCCTCTAAAAAGTCTAATTTAGTCAGAAACTTGCTTGAAAGACTTCCAAAAAAAAAAACACAAGAATTATTATGCAATTCAAAGGAAAATATAAGCATCAACACAGACAATAGGAACTTACTTGAGTACTTTATAAAGAGGGAGAAGAGACCTAAAAATAAAGAATCAATTAAAATAGTTTAGTTCATTATTGATATTTTTATTACAGGGGGTCTACTATAGACAAACAAAAAGCCTTCTATTATTATTTTAGGTCTACTTAGACATTAATATGCTGTTGAACTATTTACAAAGACCTCTGACCAGATATGTCGTGTAAGCACAACATAAAATATATAGAAAAATAAGATAAAAAAGAACTACCATGATGCGGTGAATGCAACAAAAGACACGACAATGGTGAATTAAAAAATAAATGCATCACGACATTTGAAGGTCAAACTGAATATTTCCTTTTGTCTTAATTGTTCAATCCTTATAACAGTCGAGTAATTAAATCTACTGCTTACAACTAAACTTATAAGTATTTTTATGAGGCTCGTTTAGACAGTCATTAAGGTTAGATTGGATGAACTCTTGACGAATGGATTGAAGTGTTGTGAACATTGTTATCGAGCCTGTTTCTGTGTTAAGTTAGACTTTGGTAGACGTGTCAGAATTTTCAGCCTTTCTTAAAGCGCTTTATTGATTATGGTTCTTCAAGTTAAACCTTTGGAATTAAGGCTCTTAGTCATTTAGAGCTCGAATTCTTGATGCTCAATTTCAGTATTACACTTTTGAAGCCGAGCCTTTGATGATAATTCTCATAAAGATGAGCCTTTAAGCCTTATTCTTATGAAAACAGTTCTTTGGATGCAATCACTCGCAAAGCTGAGCCTTTATTTATTATTAGTTCTAGAAAGTATACCTTTGGAATTAATGCTCTTGAATATAAACCTTTACAGCTCGAATTATTGAAGCTCAGTTTCAGTCTTAACATTCTTTAGTCTGAGCCTTTATTGATTATGTTTCTTGAAACTAAGTCTTTAAAGCTCAATTTTTAGCCTTCTGCGTTTATATTCAAGAACGCGAGCCTTCGGTTAACGCCTGTAAAGCTGAGCCTTTATTGCTTTTGGCTTTTGAAATTATCCTTTTGGAATTATTGCTCTTTGAACATAAACCTTTAGAGCTTGAACTCTTGCAGCTCATTTCTTAACATTCTTGAAGCTGAGCCTTTAGTTCTGACGTGTTTAAAGTCGAATACAGGAATTAATGCCGTCAAAATTGAGCCTTTAATGCAAATGCTCTTAAATTTTTTAGTGCTTACACCTACAAAACTGAGCCTATGATGTTTATACTCTTAAAAACTAAATCTTTAGTGCTGACTTTTCTGAAGCTGAGGAGGTTTTAGTGCTTTACACTTCTCATTCCTAAAGTGTCCTTCTTAAGGAGGTTGGTAGACACGAGCATAAAACACGAGCGTACTTTAAATCCCTTACTTTTTTACATAAATTTGAGTTAAACTATCATTCAAGTGCATAAGATTATCCAAAATTCGCGAGTTTTTTACGTCATGAAACTTCACCCCTCGAAAACCCGTACGTTCCTTCCACATAATGCAAAACTGTCTCGCAGATACTTTCCCTGTTTCTTTACGGAAAACAGGTAAAAATTGCGACAGGCAGACAGACAGGACGGGCTCGACAATCACGCAACGTCATTATCAATTAAAACTGGACAGAGTAGATAACATATGTAGCTACTGAACTATTTTCTATGTGTGATGTTATCGTATAGCCTACAGGCATTAACGTAATGCACGCGCTACATTTACAGTGTTGTAGCTACAGCTGTAAAGATAAGCTAATACATTAACAAAGGCTATTACTTTAATAAATTATCAATTTTCATACCAACGAGCTACTCATTCATTGATGCTGCGATCATTTATATTATGCAATGTGAAACTATTTTCAGGCACTTTAAGGCTGTAACAGGCTTAATGAAGCTGTTAATATCTGAAAACTCTGAAAAATCCAAGAGATTTTTTTGGAATTTAGCTTAATTTTTACTAGTGAAACTGAGTTGTAGCTTGGGGGTAAGGTTAGAAGAATGCAAGTTATCCTGTTATATTTCCTCCAAAAAACTGGTCTAGTTACAATTATGAGTTGTTTATTGATAAACGTTTCTAAAAAAAACACAGATACGAATCAATTATAATTGCCAAATATTGATAAGAATCATAGAAAACACGAGATGTGTAATATTTTCTAATAATTTAAGGGGCCTTTATCCCAGTAAATTCATTTTATTTTAAACAGAAAATTCTTTTTGCAATTTCTAAATTTAAGAATGTAAATAGCCTACAGTCAAAACTTTAATTACCGCCACCTCCAAATGACGGACACTGTGTTAAACGGAAGCCATCTTTGCCATACAAATGCATACAAAAAATGACCTGTAAACAACGGCCATTTTGTTTTTTGTCTCCCTCGGTGGTCGTTGTACGGAGGTTTGACTGTATGTTGAGCTAAAATATCGATAAATTATTCAAATTTTCAGCTTTGTTCTAACAAAATTATTCTCTTATTTTCAGATTTTTTTTGGATGCTAAACTGGAAGGACTTCATCTTAACATTATTTAGCCAGAATATGTTTTGTAAGAAATTAAACTGGCATTCCCTAATAATATTTTCTAGTAAATGTCTGTTGAGAGTATAAAACCTCTAAAAGTGAGAGCAAAACCACCCTGAAAATAAGCAAAAATCTTTGAAAACGAAAGCAAAATTTTCTAGAAAATAGGGAAAAATGCTTGAATATAAGAGTAAAAAATTTTTTAAATGAGAACAAATATCCTTAAAATAACAGAAAAAAATCACTGATATAAGAAGGGTACAAATTCCTTAAAATAAGAGTAAAAATCCTAAAATGTAAGAGCAAAAATCCCTAAATGAAAGAGTAAAAAGTCCTTAAAATAAGAGTAAAAATCCTAAAATGTAAGAGCAAAAATCCCTAAATGAAAGAGTAAAAAGTCCTTAAAATAAGAGCAAAAATCCTAAAATGTAAGAGCAAAAATCCCTAAAT